TGAATCTTGTATCTAAATTTCCAGGTCTACAGCACACCTATTGTAGAGGAGTAGAGCTCTAAGTAGCCCCAAGCCTTTAGGCCTTCGGTTCACTTGAGATGTCGAGGCCGTGCCCAAGCTCGAGTCTGACATCAGTACCGTCTGCCACTTATGCTTTCGGGCGGAGGGGGTGGAGGGTTGGCATGTGGAGGCAAGGGGACTCAGAAGGCTACTCATGACTTTGAGACATCGGCGAGTAGCGATTCCCGAAGATGCGAGTGCTACTCATGACAGCCGAGGCCGAAGCACAAATCTCGCAGCTGACCCAAGAGATTGAGGACTCCTCGCACTCCTCTCGGACTCCTTTTAAACGATTCTGAAGAGAGCCTCCAAGCTTGAGATCCCGCATTTCCTTGATCCCGTGACTATCCCTGTGATCTGCTGTGCAGTGCGCTGCTGAAGTATCTGGTTGAGAGTAAAGGCCGGTTGTCAAAGCACAGTGCTCCATGACAGCCAGGCGCAGCGAGCGGACGAGGCGGCCACCGTGGACAGCATGAAGCGCGCGGGGGTGGAGCGTGAGAAGGACACCGGGGGCATACAGGGGCATGTCCGGGTTCAGTTCGTTTTTGGTTTCGGTTTTGATCTTTGATTGTGGTGCTTTGTTCTGGGTTGAACCGTGAAGCTTCTTAGATGTCAAGCCTTTCCGGTATGCCCGGCAGGAGCATACCGTCTACGAGGATGAGGTGACCGAGTTGAAGGCGCTTCCAGGGTGCTTAGCTACATCCCGCTACATTCCGCAATTCTGTGAACTTCGGGACTTCCCTCAGGGCGACATCGGAGCGATCGACCAGGCGCTCCCTGCACTGGACGAGGCTCGGCCTGGGAAACTGGGGGTTCACGGCTTAGGACTGTTTGGGGGTGTTGTGTGAGCTGCGCGCGTCTTTTGTGTTGCCCCTTTGCGTTCTGCTTATGAAGTTGCCAGCTTGCATAGACGTCCCAGCCCACATGCGCAGCCACCTGGCCAGCCTTGACCGTTTGTGTTCCTCTGTTGGCCACCCGCTGGAGAGGCCAATGAGGGTGCTTTCGTCCAGACCGGCCACCTCGCCGGGCTGTCGACGAAGCAGGTGCTTGGCTCAAGACTACGCATCTCGAACTGAGTCTTAGCATCCTTTCTCGGTGGTGTCATGGCAGTTGCATGACTTTCGGGCACTCGCCAGTCGCTCTTGAGGTCGCCAGGCTTCAACACGTGGTGTCCAGGAGCAAGAGCGCCGGAGCCACAGCTCCGACAGTGGAGTTGCATGGCAGTGTTACGATGTGTTGCAGGCGTTCTTCTTTTCTCATTTTCTTTTCCCAGGTCACCGAGAGCGATCGGCAGGTGCTGGCCTCCTTTCTTGAGGGCAAGGTGCAGGCGCTCCTCACCATTCTTCCTCCATTCACCCTCTACACCTCAACACCACAGAACTCGAAATGTGCCCAAGATGGTTCCTGGCCTCACAAAAGGCCGAGAAACCCGCGTACCAGCCCCTCGTTTTGGGTTTGAGTTCATTCAGTTAAGGCTGTTCGCTACTGAGTTTATGTACCATGTAATGTCCGCCTTCATGATTGGCAGAAGGGATAGTAGCGCAGATCCCAGTCTCAATTCTCCATTGCTTCTGCGGCTGTATCGTGCCAGATCGTGCTGGTATTTTTGCTGCCATTGCTACGGTCATCATGATCACTGGCCCTGTTGCACCAGCCCTTCCTGCACAGAGGAAAGTGAAAGCCAGCATCCCGAGAACCACGTTCGAAGACCCTCATTTCCAGTTTCTGTTCGATGGTTCTTTTCTGGCAGGCCCAGGGTATCGGTGAGGTGAAGGGCATGCTGGAAGTGCACTGCCTGGCGTATTTGTCGGCCATAGCTGCTGCTGAACATGGGCGAGCGAGCGCATCACAAGCTACACAGCATATCAACACATGCCAGGCAGCGGGAGGAGATGGCCAAGGAGGTCGTCATCGATGACAAAGAGGAGGTCAAGGATGTGAACATCTTCGAGGTGCAACGAATGCAAAGAGCATCTTCCCGTCCTTCTCCAAACCTAACCCCAAAAGCCTCAGGAGCTCATGAACGCCAAGAGCACTGAGAAAGAGACCATCGAGGAGAGGCTGCACCCTGACCCTTTTGTCGGGCCGTTTGTCGTTTAGGGCCCCGAAACTCAGGTTATGGCTCCAGCTTTGGGCTTTTACAGTGGGCACAGGAGACCATCGCCGACAAGATTGACCGCCTGGGCGTCCTCAAGGCACGTGAAACGCATGGGAATGGTAGGAAACGAAGCTCGGGCTTGCTTCCTTCTCCTCCAAGTTCTCTGATAATGTGACTTTTGAAACCTGTGTACTTGTCACTGCTTGCATCATCTTCTTTGGCTTAGGTTTCTCTTGTCGAGCTCAAGGGCGAGCTCAAGGACGCGCAGAATGCGCTTTCCAAGGACTTCGACGTGTTGTGAGGGCCCCAGCAAGTCTGCGAGGGATAGTTGCACACTCAACCTCGCAGCTTGTCACGCTGCATCAAGGGCGGGCGTGGGCACCAATCTTTTCCGAACCGATTCCATGCTTCCATGTAGCAAGGAACAGCACGGGGCTTGTTCCCCACTCCGAAACCTCTCGCCGCCTCTGTCGAGGAAGAAGCTCTCCGAGACCTGCGACGCCAAGACCAAGGAATGGGATGTGCGGGAGAAGACCCGCAGTGAGGATCGCTGGATTTGGGGGGGGGGGGGTGGACGAGGTTTCTTCTGCTTTCGTGAGTGTCAGCTTGCACCTCCCGCAAACCTTCGATCCGTAAGCCTTAACGCCCAGACGCCCCAAACACCCCAAACACCGCCAACACCCCCTAAACCGTTCTAAGCCCCTGAAGCCACCCAAACCCTGCCAAATCCTGAATTCCTAGACCCTCTCAACATCCCTAAGCCCCGGAAGCCAGGAGCTGGTGGCCATCCAGGAGACGGTCAAGATCCTGAACAGCGCCCGGGGCCCCAGGAATTCAGGAGTCGGGAGTTCTTGCGCCCTAGGAGGGCAACCTTAAGGCCAAGGGGGGGGTTCTTCTGAGACTTCGCAATGGAAAGACCATTTCTTGATTTTCGAATCCCCTCGGTGTGAGTCATGGAAAGTGGCCGCCACGTTCTTTGTTCCAGGATGACAACCTCGGGCTCTTCAAGAAGGCGCTGCGGTGGCCCCAGAATGACCCCCACCCCAGAATGCACCCCCAAAGGCTTTCAGGTCCTGGGCGTGGCCGTTTCTTTTTTTTTAACTCCACAGGTTCCTCTTCTTTCCTCAAGACAGTGACACGGATGGTGGATTGAAGCTTAGGATGTTGGACGCGGGCTCTCATATGCTGAGGCCCAGTCCGAGCCTTCTGCAGCTGGAGGGGGCCCAGACGAGGCCGAGACTGGACATGACTGGACCTAAGCAACTACCCATAACTACACCATCCTTACACCAGCAAACCTGCCACCAAATCTGCCCCTCAAAAGCCCTTCAATAATCCCTTGAATCTCTCGATGTCCATGTCTTTCTCGTCAGGGGCAAGGCCCTGGAGATGCTGAAGACCTATGCCAAGGGCATGGGCTCTGAGGCCAGAAGTTTTGGTCGCGGATTTGAGAAGGCTTTTTGAACAGTTCGTCAACGACTTGCACAGTCTGTACGCGAAGTAGTCCCCCAAATGGTGGCTCACAGGCAGTGCCCAACCGAACCAGCGTGGACCTTGTTGCCGGGGTCTCGGCCATGAGTAACAGGTTTGTGGAGAGAGCATCTAGCTGCTAGGTGGACTGCCTTGCACAGTAGCAGTAGTATTGATGTTTTGCCGGTTATTATAGTATTGTTGTTACTTCATTCGGACGCGCCTTGAGATTGTTGTGATAATGACTTGAAGCATTGTTGTCAGCGCTGGTTGACTTCTTCAATGTGCCCAAATGACCCCATCTTGTGGGCGCGCTGAAGCTAAAACCGCATACCTTGGGAGCATCCATACTACCACGTCAGGATTCCATGCCCAGTCAGGATTCCATGCCCAGTCAGCATCTACAGAGGCAGCAGAATGTATGCTGTGCTGGCGCATCTCTGCTCAGATGCTGGCCCTGTCCCACAAGGGAGTGGACTTCTCCACGGTTTGGCGCCCGGCAAGCGGCGCGTAGAATGAGCCAGAGTCTACTTCTGCTTCTGAGCCAGCTCCTGGGTCGGTAGCCCGAGTTCGCGAAGAAGTTTGCTTGCGTAGGTGATGCAGATGATCGACAACATGACCGCCTTGATGGAGCAGGCCATGGTTTCAGGTTTATATATATGGGGAAAATAGACGGAGGCATGTGGAATATACACATACGTACAAACAAAGAGGGTCCCGGAGATGTTGGCAAAGGCCACTACTCGCCCTTTCTTCTAGAAAGCTTCCACGTTCCTTGCATCCGAATCGCCCAAGGCAGCCAAATGAATTGGAAGGGATGTCCCCTAAACCCTAAACCCTAAACCCTCAACCAGTTGAGCCCCTGCCGGTCGAAGGAGCAGTCGGATGACGATGACAAGAAGGACTACTGCAACAAGCAGGCCTTCGAGAACAAGCGCAAGACCAAGGCCGACCGTGAACCGTCCTTTTAGGGTTTAGGGTCGTTCAGGGTTTAGGCCTTAGGGTTTGGGGTTTAGTGTTCAAAGTTATGGCCGACCGTGAACCTTTTTGGGGCGGTGCCGTCGGTTGCAAGCAAGGGGTCCGGGATTTCAGAGGGTTTTCTTGTTTTTTTTGATTTCTGACTTGAGACTGAAGAAGCCCCAGCATTGCCCCAGGCTCTGCGCCACAAGATCCAGACTCTGGAGCAGGCCATCGTTACGCAGGAGGAGGCGGAAAACCTTCGCCCGAAGTAGCTCGAAAGCCCAGAAGCTGCTGATATCCGGAAAGGAAGAGAAAAGGGTTAAGGTGTGATAAGCTTGCAGTACTTAATCCCGGCGAGCAATGGTTCAAGAGTAGTCAGTATCTCCTGACAGAAGATCAAGGCCTTGCCGCAATGTTCCTCTATTCTGCTGCCGTGAAGAAGGGCCAAGGTGCCTTGAAGAAGTGCTTCAAAGATCAGCCGGAAGACTATGTCGAAGATCGGGCCGAGTTCCGGGTCGAGAAGGTGGAGTTTCCCATGCTCCCCGGTAGCTTAACAAAGTACGCCATCACGGCCGGGGAGGATGCTGGCTCACAGGATGTCACTGTTCCAAACCCCGCCTGGGGGATGCTGCCTTTGCTGCCTGAGAAGCTTATCGGTTTCTTTGAAGCGCGAGGTGTGAAGGTCACCAAGACAATGGAGACGAAGCAATTCCACACGAGGCTTGGCTTCGTCATTCGGAAGCTGTCAGGAGTTGTTGGGCTCACGGTTACAAGGATGGATTACCAAAAGATTGCCGGGAAGAAGCATGTCAAGAACAAGCGGAAGCGAGATGAGTTTGAGTTTGGTGGCTTCTCTGAAGAGGAGCCTGGGGAAAAGCAAACCTGGAGCATCCCAGGATTGGAGAAGATAAATTCCAGAGCAGAACTGGCGACCGTAGCGCTGGACATCGAAGATGTTGTTGCAGATGAAGGAAAGAACATGTTAATGATCTCCTTCAAGCATCCCTTACGGGCTTTTCAGCAACAGTCTATCAGCAACGATGGTGAGATTACGTACGTGGAAGTGGAGGAGACCAAAGGGACGAACTTGCCGGCAGTGCTTGGACAAGAACTTGTTCAGCTTGCCCCGAACACAATGAAGATGCATCTCTACTTCTCGGGGGAGTGGAACGACGGAGATGCCCTGGCTGGTGAAGGCGAGGGCAAAGCCTGCCTCAAAGAGTTAAGGTGGTACCTCGACATGCTGAAGAAAATCCAATCCACGATCGACAAGAAGCGTGAGGTTGTGGCGGGTTTCCAGCAGAGACGGGACGAGCAGAAAGGCACGAGGTTCTGCGATCTTCCTGGGGACCATGTTGCCAGGAAAGCCGTTGAGGAGTTCGACTTGGATATCACAAAAGAAACCGGACACTGGGACCCTTCAGTGCTAGAAGAAGAATGGCGAGCGTGGTATGACTTGCGACGGCAAGCTGTGTCGCGCTGCAGTCAGTTGTTTCGAGAAGGTTGTGAAGGGGAAGAGGATGAAGCCGAGAATGAGGAAGAGGAGTCCGATGATGATGTTGACCATGATGAAGGCTACTATCAATCGACGCGATTTCAACTGAAGATGTTGAAGGACATGCGCAGGACATACTGCAATGCACTGAAGCACGCGGGGCTCGATGCTGCCAAAGCGGAAGCTGCAGCTAAAGGCCTTTTCCTGCAAAGTGTGGATGTGAGCGAGGACGGTGGCCTCCAGCCCCGCACAGTCAGCGTGCGTGTTCGCATATTCAGCTCGGTTGGCCAAGCCAAGCTGGTCGATATCGAACACGAACATCATGCTCGAGCACGTGCGAGTTTTTGTGAAGAGTATGCCCACATCAAAGCGCAGGTTCTTGCAGTGGATCCTGAAACTTTGACCTTCCAGGTTGTGGATGACCTTGCCGGCACAGTGGACGACATCACGCTCTTCGACATGCAATGTCATCCTCACACGGGCAAGCGCACCTACTCGCTGGCAACGATCAAGGACGCGCAAAAGCTCTCCGAAGCCATTTTTGGTCAACGTCGAGGACCGTTGAATGCTTTCTACAGCTTCCACGTCTTCATGATGGCAGCCGGTGCTGACACCCGGCCTTTTACAGACATGGATTACAGTGAGTTTTGTCCGCTGAGCTACCTAGAGACAAAGTTTCACCACAAGAAGTAGATAGGGCCAGATAGGGTAGGGAGGGGTTGCCAAGACATGTGCAATGTGAGTATTGTGCATGCGGCCTGTGTGCCTGTGCACGCTGCAGTGTCACCAGACAGACGAAGCGTTGCAGGCAAAGATCCTCTACTTGGAGGTTCATGGTACTTATTAAGTGACCTGGTTATGAGTACATGTATAAGTACAGTTACAAGTACAGTTCTAAGTGCTGTTATAATTGGTTCATAAGTACCATGAAGCTCCAAGTAGATGTTTTTCTTCGCTGTCGAAGCTTTTCGCAGACATGGTCGCTGTGTGCGTTGGGTCAACTTGTGAACGACGACATCGCTTAGGACAGCGCCAGCGTCATGCTGCGGCTGGCACTCAGAACTTTCCCCAACTTCTCAGATTTAGGAGAAGGAAAGCCTGAAGCCGCAGCCCTAACCTAACCGCCCGGACCCACCACCCGCTGCTTGAGCCCGCTTTGACCCGTCGCCCAGTTGGCTTCTCCTTTGAGCCGAGACCGTCAAATGCCGAAGTCTGCACAGGCTGCGAAGGCCACCGAGGAGGAGATCAAGGCGCTCCAGGCGGGCGTGACTTCGCTGGAGCCCCAGGTTTTTGTCTGTTCTGGATGTAGCGCTTTTTGCATCGCAGCCGCGCGTCGCGTTTTTTCAACAAGTGACGTCCAGATCGTGAGCTGTGATGTGAGAGAAGTTGCGACCACTGAGCGCATCGATGCAGGCCCAGGAGCCGAAGCAAATATCACAGGAACCTTGCCCATCCTCTTTGTGCGATAATATCAGATAGCAATGCATCAGTCTGTCACCAGCAAGCAGCCTATACCTAGCTATCAAAAGTCTTTCTGACAGTAGCGTCGTAACGTCCCAACCTCGGACTCTACAGGTATAGTCATCAATGGCTAACAGCCTCTCGCCCTCGGGGAACACACGCCAAAATTCAGTATTTTTTTGCCGGTTCAGTCGGTCAACACAAATTGTATCGCATAAGTACCTGGGTCCATGAGAAACCCCCGAGCAACTACCTAAGCACCCCCGAGCAACTACCTAAGCACCTCCAAACTACGAGCTGCGAGGCAGTGAGAGCTCAGAAGCTTGCATTGATTCCAATTCTTCAGGCCGAAGCAAATTTTTGTAGTCCAGATTCCGAAGGGCTCCCCCTTTGCTAGTGAAACTAAGTGGCTAGAGGGGCGCTTGAGGCTGGACAAGTCAGTGGCCGAGTCCACCGACATGCGGAAGAAGGAGCACGAGGCAGGGCTTGACCCCTCCACATGTCCGTGGAAGGGCATGTGCCGTTTAGCAGGCTGTTGGGTCTGTGTGGGAAAGTGTCAGGGCTGTGTTGGACTGGTGTTTCCAAGCGAAGTGTTGGGTGTGGGGTGACTCACGATGCCTAATTTGTTGGCCATGGGCAGGAGTACCAGAAGACTCTGCAGGACCAGTCTGCTACCAAGGAGTGGTGGGCTGCCACGTGCACATTTCTCGAATAACGCTGCTCTTTCAAGCTGCCATGAAATGTACATTACCTTGTCCAAGCGCACTTCCTCGCCATCATCATTCTATCTGTGCTCGTTGCTGCAAATATTGGTGCTGCAAGGGTTCCTCTTGTGTTTGCATGACATGGCACATCCCACTTGTAAGTGGCGTCCAGAGCCTTGAGATCATGGCAAACGGGTTGCATCGGGAGGATGTCTTGCTGATGGCCAAGAACCGCCTCTTCCAGTTCTACCATCCGGACTCTCGGAATGAACTCATACCACAGCAAGCAAGCTCTGTGAGTCTCTAAGGCATCATGGCATGAGAGAGCGGTTTTGACTTGGGATCCTTCGTAGGTACTTCTACGGTAGGATTGTGAGGACCCCCCTGAAAGAATTTTTCATGAACGTCAGTCGGCCTCAGCTCAGGACATGACCACCACCCTATCGACTACCGGCCCATACGACTTGGGACTTGTGCAGGCGATTCCATGTGGGGATCTGTTTACAAGAAGGAAGAGGTTAGCATAAAGCAGCAGCCCACGCAACTCAAAGGCTGGAAGATCATCGGCCTGGCTGCAAACGTTCCCTTGCTTCAAGTGACGGCATGCTGAGGAAAGCAATCAATCCCTAAACTGCAAACAACTCTGAGTTAGGCCAGCCTTCTCACGAAACGCCTTCACAGGGATGTCAGTAAGCCCCAGAGCCCGAACGCTATGTGATAGTGTGCAAGAGATGCTACAAAACTGGTGCAGGAGTCTCCGGCTTTCGTCCAGGCTCTGCAGTTGCTTTTGTATGTTTCTGTGTTGCTTCGACGAGGCGTCCTTCCAAGCCTACTGAAACCATGCTACTGGTGGCTCTACTTGTCTTTGGGTGGTTCGCGACGTTTTTTGGTAGCAGCTTGGGGATGCAAGCTATGGGGCCGGGTTGAGGCTGAAATGGAGAGTTCAAGCTTTGACGTGTGCTACGCAACACCATCATCGCCGTCATTGCTGTGTTTGGGAACGTTCCAGTCTTGGAGGTTAACGGGTTTTCCTGTGCTGGTGAAAACAAGCCACAGTTCGACACAGACTTGACCCTCAGCTGCCCCGAACAAACCAAGCATCTCACGTGCAGCTTTGACAGATATGCCGGGCAGCATCCGTAAGGCACCCGTCGTCACTCACCGTCGACATTTGTAAGTAATGTCTACAGAACCTTTCGATTCAAGAAACACCTTTCGGTTCGGGCGTCCGTGAGACGATTGGAAAGGATACTTGTGAAACGACCCAGTCCAGCTTCTGGTGCGCCTTGCGCCTTGAATTCCAAGAGCACCCCAAACCATCCAAACAAACTTCACCTCGGGGGAGGTTGAGGCTCATCAGATGAAGGAAGAGCCACCTGAGTTCGGCTCGGCCAAGCAGGGAGCTCAGCACGCTGCCAGAGGTCTTCAGGCAACTGCTTTGAAACACTGTCACGAGTTTGAGGGTCGATTTTAGGTTTCAGGGTTTTTTGTTGCACGTTCGGATGTAACAGGGCACGCGTGACAGCGGAAGCATTCTGTGGTCGTCAGCATCAGCGCTGGATTGGCTGCCGCCCCCCACCACTTTCTTGAAACAATGGTTCCAAGCGGCAAGCCTCGCCTTAAATCACCGCCAGCAGTCGTGGGGCTTCCACAAGTTCTTGCCAGGTCTTGCCAGGTCTTGCCAGGTGATAAACTGTAAGTTGAAGCTCAGCATCATCAACGTGTCATGAGAAGTCTTGTCGTTGCTCTCCCCAGAAGTTACCCAACCTGCAAAGGACTGGCCTTTTTCCAAGGGCTGTCATGGGCAGTGTCTGCATTGGCCAGGATGGTCCAGGGCAACGGCGTGCTGAACATGCTCGAAGGCCAGAGCCCTCAAACCCAATCCTCCATATCCCTCGAACCTCGGAACCCTGCACGATTTTGAGCCCTACGGTGCAAGATGCGGGAGGCCTTGTGACTGAGACCGAGAAGACCATGGCTGAGGCAATCCGGGGACCTTCTGAGCAACTCGATGATTGGGGTTTCTTCGGTTTGTTTTGAGGGTTGGGCAGCTGCTTTTGGGGTTCATCTAGGGCTTTTATTGTGACACTGTTTGTATTTGAGAAGTATCAGCCCCTCCACTGTTCTCGAGAGAGGGCCTCAGCACACGCTCAGACCTGTTCGAATTTGGCAGGGGGCGGGGCAGAGATGTGTGCAACTTCCTTCGATGGCCCCAGGATTGACGGGGGCACTAGGCACTTCGTTGTTTATTTGTTTATTTGTTTCTTTTTTGTTTGGATGCCCCTCGGAACTACCCAGAGCGGGTGAGCTCCTTGCAAAAACCTCCAAGATGAACGAAAAAACGAAGCTCGATGGCTTCAACGGAACTCTCAAGGCCTAGAACAGGTATCAACATGCTGCTTGTTCTGCATCGGCTGTGCTGCCTGCGCTCGCACGACATGTCCCAAGGCCAAGTACAATGAGAAGGAGTCCCAGCAGCTTTACGAAGACATGCTGTCTGACGCAAGTAGCCCAGAGCATCCCAGAGCAAGATGAAAGGGTTTCGGGCAGAGAGTTCGTTCGTGATGAACTGTTTTGTGTTGTTATATTTTGTTGTGTCTTGCTAGTTTTTTGACGAACTTTATGCGTTCTGCACCTCTTGGGTTTCCAGACGTTGGAGTCGCGATTATACAAATAGAGCCTGGGGGAGAGTGAGGCTTGAGCTACCGGCAGGCCCTTGAACCCTGATTCACACTGATCACCCAAGCTCTTGACACCAGCGTGTCATCTCCTAGGAGCATTCCACCCTGGACTCGATCGACAACAGTCACTGATAAACACGAACACGACGCTAGATGAAACCCTCGACAGACACATGCATCTCTGTGCCACAAGCGCTTGAATCCAGCAACCGAGCAGCTGCCTGAACCCCAAACCCAAACCACTCCACACGGCCTCGTGCGGTGAATCCCCACAGCCCTTCAAACCAACTTCAAAGCATCTCAAAGCACCCTAGCATTGGACCCCAAGCCTGAAGGTAAGAACATTACAGAAGCCCGAAGCTCCGCGAAGGCTGCCGCAAAGCGCGAGGCTGATGTCAAGGCTATCGCCTCCAAGCAGAGGGCCAAGGCGCGTAGCTCCCAGGTGATTCGAACTTTCGGGATTCAGGGTCTAGTTACCTGTAACATGTTTTTGTAACATGGCAGGCGTTTTCTGGGTCATGGAGCCGGAAAGACCGGACACGGTCGGTTGCAGGCCACGGCGGAAGGCGAGGTGGTCAAGAAGTCGGCCGGGCACTCAGCTGCCGCAACTCGGGTGGTGGATAAGTGCCCAACACTCTGAAACCCTGAAGACCCAAAAGCCCCGAAGCGCCAACCCTAAAGCCCCATAAGAAACCTTCTCCAATGGTAGCAGTGGTAGCAAAAGGACGAGAGATGGCAATTGTAGACCTAGAAACAGAGGTGGGCGAAAATGGTAACGAAAGCAATAGTGGTAGTAAAAGTGAGCATAAACCCCCTCCCCCCCCACCAAAAAGCAACAAAAGGAAAACTTATAACCTAAAACCCCAAAGAAAGCGAGGATGCCAAGAAGGCCGAGAAGGAGGAGCTGAAGGCCGGTTCGGTCCCCCCTTTCCGAGCCTCCATCCCTTTAATAGTAGCATCAACGAATGAGGGGAAGAGGAACAGGAAGAGGTCTCATGGGTTTTTTTATTACTTTCATTCTTGGTTCTTCTGGTCAAGAGTCGCAAGTCCCACCCCGCCCCCTTAGATGAGGCAGGCGAGATCAGGCGAGACTAGATCAAGGTCCATTCGTTTCGAGCCTCCGGCGGTCTGCTTCCACTGCCAAATGCGATTGTGAAGAGTTGCCGCAGCTAATTCATCAGAACCAGGTTGGCCCGAGGGCCCGAAGGATGGCATGAGCACTATGCCCTTGACCACCTTGTACCCCCGAACTCGTGGGACTGCTAAAGGGGTCTGACATGCAATGTCACTTATACTGGAAGGACGTGCAGCAATACGGCACGGACCTGGACGAGGAGGGCACGTTTTTGACCCTTAGAGGTTGCTGGGGGTGGCAAACAGTCGCAGGGGTTCTTTGTTCCGGGATTCTGGTCAATGAGCAATATAGATTCGACTAGGATGGGGAAGTCTCCTCACGATGTTGCTCGGGGCCTCCCATATGTACTGACTTCGTGCCATGTGCCGTTCGACGCCCTCAATTCCTGTGGCCCCAAACAGGCCCAGGAATGTTCCAGCACAGCAAGTGCGCCCAAGCAACTTCTAAAGTTATTCCAAAGCCTTCCAGGAGTGCAGCTGGCTCTTGAAGAACTACGAGACCCGTAAGACGGCCCGGCTCTCGGTTTACTTCACAACGATGATGCTGATGATGCTGCTGCTGCTGCTGCTGCTGCTGCTGCTGCTGCTGCGGCTGCTGCTGCTGCTGCTGATGATGATGATGATGATGATGATGATCATGACCACGATGATGAAGGGACATTGTAGACTTTCTATGCTACTATTATCTTTGTGTCATGATGATTCTTTGCTACTTTTCTCTGTGTTGCCGGTATTGATTTTAGTTTTCCATCTTTCGTCGTGGACATTGCTAGATTTTCAGCGTTCGTGGCTTGGGGGTCGAGAGCTGTAGCATCTTGAGTTGAGAACGTGGAATTGTCACACTTGCTGTTCTTATGGTTACTTTTCGTTCTTGTTGTTGTTGTTTTCGTGATTGGATGCGAATTATCATACACCATGAACTCCATTAGCCTGCCTGTCAAGCCCCCTCCCCCCCCACAGCACACAGGCCCGTGAGCAGGAGAAGGAGACGCTCCAGCAGGCGAAGGTGCCTCTCTTAAACCTCAGGGATTTAGGGTTTAGGGTTGAGGGTTCGGGTTCAGGGCTTTGGGTTTTAGGGCTGTGCTCAAATCCTGAACTCTAAACTCTCATTTAGGGATTGAGCCAACTGTCCAAGAGGGCCAGGGCACAGCAAGCGAGTGGCGGAGCCTCCTTCTCCAGCCATTTTTTTTTGCCGAAACGGTGCAGGAAGCCCCAAAGATCCTGGGACCCGCCGCAAGCACAGGCCGCCCTGGCTGGTGCCAAGTGAGCAGCTGCACAGGCTCTGCCTTAAGGCAAAAGGATGTCTTGCAGGATGTTCGTGTTGACGGTGGGGGTGAAATGTGGGGGCAGAATGGCAAAGATGGATTCTGGGCCGATATGCTACTTTGTGCAAGGGTGCTGACAGTAGATTCAGTAGATGCAGGGACCTTCGCAAAATCCATCATGCCATTAAGCAACATACGCCATGCCGCTATCACTGCCTGCTCGAGCGAGTTTTTGACTGGTCCTCTCCTCTTCGGCGCTTGCTGATCTCAGTTGCGAATCATGGCCCGTCGTTCCTCCAGCGTGTCCTGGCTTAGGAGAGGAGCTTGCAAGGTCCAGGACCCTCAGTAGCACCTAAGCCTTCAGCGCGAAGCCCATCCATCTACAACCCCCGAAGCTCCCGACAAGCTGCAACCAAACACCTCGGCACCCCCCTTCAACTTTTCAAACCCCCAAGGTGCTCATCCTTGCAGCTGCCCTCTGCACGCTGCTGGCGCTCCAGGCTCAGAGCTCGAAGCGTTTTTATTTGTGGTGCGGTTGCCTGAAGCATGAATGAGCGCAGTCTGCTGTGTTCGGCGTGCTGCAGCCCCAGGAGTCTAGTGACATATCGTGCTTTAGGACGATCCATGCACACACCAGGCGAGTGAGTTTGCTCCGCGATTTCCTCAACATCTCGAGTAAGAGACTTGCATCCTGTACACTGATCCCTTTGAAGGGGTGTGGGGGCGGTTGGTGCAACTCCAACTCTCCTGTCCAGGCAGCTTTCCTTGGCCCCAGCCGCGGCAGTGAGGTTCGTGGTTTGCCACATCGTTTCGGATTCTGTCAGCAGTTGGGGTTCTCTACATGAGGGTCGCTTCTTGAGGCACCTAGTATACTTCGAGCCCCTGTATCTAGGGTACCCCGAGAAGGGACCATGCCTTTGAGAACTGCCAATTTGCCAGGTTTTCGGGTCAGGCCGCTCAACAGAGTAACAGTCACTGTGGCCATCTGCCGCAGGAATGGCCAAGACATTGAAAAAGGGGTTTTCAAAATGCACCCTGGTGCACGCAGTGGCAGTAGTTCAGCAGAAGTCCACAATAGCTCCGGAACACCAGCAACCCCAGTTGGCAAAATGGACGAGAGCACTCTATTGGTTTCTCCTTGCATCGGCGCTGCTTCCATTCAGCGGTGCATCTTCGAGCACCTTCCGGGAGCCTTTTGGGGGCCAAGGGGCCCTGGCAGTCTGCAGCGCTGGATGCTCCTAAAGCCCGAACACTTCCGCTGCACAGGTCAGCCAGCATGACATGGCCAAAGTGGCAGCCGCAGGCGCTGTGCTGACCGCACCGGAGGCGGCTCACGCGCGGCTTCCAGAGGAGCAATGTTTTAAGGGAACGCAGAAGATGCTCGCTGATGTTAGGGGGCTCAGAGGGGCTGGTGGTTTTGTGATTCGGCTCTCGTCTCTGGTGTGTCTCAGCTGGGGCACCGGTGAGGCTTAAGACGTGTGCCGCGGAGTGCCCTCACAGGAGTTCGTGATCTTTGCGCCAATCGTGGACGTGCTGCCAGTGCCTGCCCAAGAAACAGGGTTGAGGGGTTAGCAAGCAAACTGTTCTCTGAAGCTGCCCGTGCCTCCACGCCGCAAGCATTGGCAGATCTTGCCCGTCTTCTTCTTCCTGCTGGCCTTCCTGTGGCAGGCCAGCTAGAAATTTGGTTTAAGCATGCATAAGGTTTCTGGCAAAGGTTAGCATAAAAGGGTTAGCCCTTCTTCGATGCTACGGTGTATTGACGTGTGAAGTTCGAGCCATAGCACCCTGATCCAGAAGCTGAGCGGCCCAAGGACAGCAGACTGGCGCAAATTTTCCATCGGCCTTACCTATATTCTCTCTCAACCTCAGAGCCTCAGAGAGTCCGAAAAAACACACTCGTCTCGGGGCAGGCAGCTGTTGGCTTCCGCTGAGCGGAGATGTGCGAGCGACAGAGGACTTGCTCTCGTTGTGTGCATTTCTAAGTGCTGGATGTTCGGAGTAGGTGGTTCCAAAGACCAGGCCCCAAAAATGTTGGTGGGGTTCTCGTCCGTTTGAGAGGTAGTTGAACTGGGAGGGTGATCAAGGGGAGGAAGGCAGACCTCCCCACAGCATGCACGGACTCCTTGCCTGTCAGCCTCCAGGACGAGAGATTTTGCTCCGGCATAGCGTGATTCAGCAACGCTGGAAGAGAGCGCGCGTGTGCATTTAAAAGCACCTGCGTTCTCAGCCGCTGCATGCCAGCAACTGCCTGCCCATTTTGCACATGAACGGAGGACGAGCAAAGAACAGTAGTAGAAGGGTTTAAACGGGGACAAGCTTGCCAAGCGTTCATGCTGCATGGCCCTCGAACAATTTCTGGCTCGAGTGGGGGGTAGAGTCCCAGATAGCTGTCCGCACCATCCTACCTGTGTGTAGAAAGTACGCCAATGGCTCGCCGCATCTTGACTAGACCACATGGACCCAGCCCGCAAACTCGAACGCCTCAAAAGCTGCCACCTTCACCTGTGAGCTTCGCCCTTACCCGCCAAAGGCCACAACACCACTAAGCACCCAGAAAACCCTAAACCTGTTAGGCCTCAAAAACCGTGAAGTCCCACGCTTTAGGCTCCAGCGCCCTCGTGCTCCTGGCCGCCCTGGCGGCGCTCTGCCTACTCCAGAGCCCCGGCCCGGAATAGGGGATGTGCGTCTACAGCCCTCAGCTGGGCATTCTTGAAGCTCATCAGCTGAAGCTCAGGAGCGCTTTTGTCAGCCCCGGCAGCCAGAATCTGCGAGGAGAGGTGACTTGGAGACGACCGGTTCCAGTTCTTCGTCCTAAACCTAGGTCTTGAACACGCTGACTGCAACATACTGCAACCCCAAACGCTGGCCCGTGAATTCCTCTGGACTTTATCGCTCCTCTCCTCCCCAAGTTCCTCCCAAAGGTCTCCCAGGATGTGGCCAAGGCAGCCGCAGTGGGAGCTGTGCTGGCCACCCCCGAGGCTGCACATGCGCGGCTGCCCGAGGAGTCCTCGAGGGCTTAAAGGGTTCAGGGGGAGTTTCGGAGGAGCTTCGGGGGTTTGCGGGGTTTATGGAAGAGTACCGATCGCCGTCAAACGCGGGCTTGACTTCCGGTCATCCTTGTCCTTTCTACGTAAATCTGTTGCAGTATGTTGCTTATAGCTTGTGGTCCCAATTGCAGCGAGGAGTTCGTGATCTTCGCCCCGATTGTGGATGTGCTCCCGGCCGCTGGCCAAGATGCGCTCACGAGTGACAAAGCAAACGCAACCCGAAAGTAGATTCGGCACTAAACCCTTTAGGGTTTAAGGCCGAGGCCACGGCTTTGAAAGTGCTTGTGTTGTTCAGATCGCTGAAGATTTCAGGCAGCGTACACCCCAAAGCTCTACAGTCTACAGGCGACAGGCATACTGTAAATCTCTGTGGGCCCTCGTCCAAAACACTCTGACCTCTAAACCCTGAATTCGGCAAGGCTACGCCACTTATGTTACCCTGGAAGATCCCTAGAACCATGACAGATCCTGCCTGTCTTCTTCTTCCTCTTGGCCTTCCTGTGGCAGGTCCCGGCGGAATAGATTTCGGGAGCCTTTGCTTTGCACACTACTTGTGCCAAATCCTTCGCATTTGTGTTGGGGGTGATGAAAGGTCAGTAGCGCGGGAGCACTCCCCACATTTCAAGATCCCGATCTTGGAACCCCCGTTCTGCCAAGCTCGGATTCTCAACCCCTCCCTCTTGATAGCTTGTACTGTGCGTGTTCAGTTTAGCGGTCCCACCACTGAGAGGGCAAGAATGCCCAGCTCCATTGAGGTTTAGAAGGCAAACGAGAATGTCCGTGGCCTCCTGTGCAGCTCGCAGGCTGCCGTCGGCTTCCGCTGAGCGGCTTGGCGTCGGTGACGGGGACAGAGGGACCGAAGCCCGTTCTTGCAAGCCCCTTTGCCCTGAATCCCAGAACCCCATAATATATAAACCTGAAACAGGGAATGCGATTGGTGGTAGTTTGAGGCGTCGTCAGCTGAGATCGCATCCCTTCGTGGGGACTGGTGACTCGTGGTTTTGTTTTCGACTCTCGTCTCTGACAGGAGTTCTTGTTTTTGCGCCCATCGTGGACGTCCTGCCAGTGCCTGCCCAAGAACCAGGGTTGAGTGTTAGCAGACAAGCTGATCTTCGAAGCTACACAGATATCTTGCCGCTCGCTGCCCGTGCCTCCACAGCAAGCATTGGCAGATCTTGCCCGTCTTCTGCTTCCTGCTGACCTTCTTGTGACAGGCCAGCTATGGTTTAAGGTTTCTGGCAAAGGTTAGCATAAAAGGGTTAGCTCTCTTCGATGCTACGGTGCGGATGGTATCCTTCAGTTGACGTGTGAAGTTCGAACCACAGCACCTTGATCAAAAAGCTGGGCGGGCCTCAAGGACAGCAAAGTTCATGTTCGGATACCTACAGTAAGTAGCTAAAGCGAAGCTTTGTTCCCCAAGAACTTTGCGGAGACCGTCTCGTGTAGGCAGCTGTCGGCTTCCGCTGAGCGGAGATGTGCGAGCGACAGAGGACTCGCTCTCGTTGTGTGCATTTCTAAGCGCTGGATGTTCGGAGTGGTAGGTGCTTCCAAAGACCAGGCTCCAAGAATGTTGGTGGGGCTCTCGTCTGTTGAGGGTGATCAAGGGGAGGAAGGCAGACCTCCCCACAGCATGCACGGACTCCTTGCCTGTCAGCCTCCAGGACGAGAGATTTTGCTCCGGCATAGCGTGATTCAGCAACGCTGGAAGAGAGCGCGCGTGTGCATTTAAAAGCACCTGCGTTCTCAGCCGCTGCATGCCAGCAACTGCCTGCCCATTTTGCACATGAACGGAGGACGAGCAAAGAACAGTAGTAGAAGGGTTTAAACGGGGACAAGCTTGCCAAGCGTTCATGCTGCATGGCCCTCGAACAATTTCTGGCTCGAGTGGGGGGTAGAGTCCCAGATAGCTGTCCGCACCATCCTACCTGTGTGTAGAAAGTACGCCAATGGCTCGCCGCATCTTGACTAGACCACATGGACCCAGCCCGCAAACTCGAACGCCTCAAAAGCTGCCACCTTCACCTGTGAGCTTCGCCCTTACCCGCCAAAGGCCACAACACCACTAAGCACCCAGAAAACCCTAAACCTGTTAGGCCTCAAAAACCGTGAAGTCCCACGCTTTAGGCTCCAGCGCCCTCGTGCTCCTGGCCGCCCTGGCGGCGCTCTGCCTACTCCAGAGCCCCGGCCAGGAATAGGGGATGTGCGTCTACAGCCCTCAGCTGCGCATTCTTGAAGCTCAGCAGCTGAAGCTCAGGAGCGCTTTTGTCAGCCCCGGCAGCCAGAATCTGCGAGGAGAGGTGACTTGGAGACGACCGGTTCCAGTTCTTCGTCCTAAACCTAGGTCTTGAACACGCTGACTGCAACATACTGCAATCCCAAACGCTGGCCCGTGAATTCCTCTGGAACACTTTATCGCTCCTCTCCTCCCCAAGTTCCTCCCAAAGGTCTCCCAGGATGTGGCCAAGGCAGCCGCAGTGGGAGCTGTGCTGGCCACCCCCGAGGCTGCACATGCGCGGCTGCCCGAGGAGTCCTCGAGGGCTTGAAGGGGGTTTGCGGGGTTTAGGGCTTGTGGAAGAGTACCGATCGCCGTCAAACGCGGGCTTGACCTCCGGTCATCCTTGTCCTTTCTACGTAAATCTGTTGCAGTATGTTGCTTATAGCTTGTGGTCCCAATTGCAGCGCCAGGAGTTCGTGATCTTCGCCCCGATTGTGGATGTGCTCCCGGCCGCTGGCCAAGAAGCGCATTGAGCAAGCAAGCCGCAAGTCCTGCATGTAGCCTGAAGAACTGCAACAAAGAAATGCAGGGGCTCACGATTGCGACAAAGCAAGCGCCACCCGAAAGTAGCTTCTGCATTAAACCCTTTGGGATCTCTGGGGTTTAAGGCATTTTAAGGCTTGTGTTGTTCAGATCGCTGAAGATTTCAGGCTTCAGGGGTGGTAGGCCAAGCATCCACAATCGTAACCCCAAGGGTCTTTTGGCGACTGGCATAAATCCCTTTGGGCCCTCGTCCAAAAATCTCTGGCCTCCATTAAACCAATTCAGCAAGGCCACGCCACTTATGTTCCCATGGAAGATCCCTAGAACCATGACAGATCCTGCCTGTCTTCTTCTTCCTCTTGGCCTTCCTGTGGCAGGTCTCGGCGGAATAGATTTCGGGAGCCTTTGCTTTGCACACTACTTGTGCCAAATCCTTCGCATTTGTGTCGGGGGTGATGAAAGGTCAGTAGCGCAGGAGCACTCCCCACATTTCAAGCTCCCGATCTTGAAAGGAAGATAAGCGGTCCCACTTGTGAGAGGGCATCGATTTGCCCCAACCAGGTTTGAATTTACACGGCAAACGAGAATGTCCGTGGCCTCCTGTGCAGCTCGCAGGCTGCCGTCGGCTTCCGCTGAGCGGCTTGGCGTCGGTGACGGGGACAGAGGGACGCCCGTTTTTGCACGCCTCCCAAGAAAAAATGTGCAGCCAGGACTTCAGTAGAGCCACTTTCGAGGGCTGCTCTTTGCCCTGAACTTCAGAACCCCATAAACCTGAAACAGGGATTGCGGGTTGTGGGCCCTATGACCTGAAGCCTGCAGCCCTTTGGCTCGCGCTTGCCTAAGCCTCTGCGGCACGGCCCCGGTATGCCCGAGGACGGGTGTTCCTTTTTTCTGGGGGGGAACCCTGCACGGGCCGTAGGTTTTTTTGAAAGGAGGGCGTCCTCTTTGCCTCTTAGCAGTCCTGGGAGTGATCTTGTATCACAGAGAGATCTGGCGAGGTGCATCTCAGGTGAGCCCTTCAATATCAGGGTCCTGTAGCGGGCACCTGAAATTTGAAGGGGCCGTATTCTAAGAGCGGCCATCACCGGGAGACCTGACCATCCGGAGGTGCAAAAAAGCAAATTGTAGCAAACCGCCATGATATCTTGGGACTGCCATCCTCGAGGCAGGGGTTATGACGGTTAAGCTACTCTCCCCTTGAGGAGGGCGAAGGAGAGAAGAAGGACAGCTGCCACCAGTTCTGTGGGCCGATGCTTTGTGCAGTGCTGGCACCGTCTGCATTGGTGAAGCCGACATGGTGTAGTAGCTGCCAAAGGGGAAGATGTGTGAATTGAAGCCCCGGGCCCTTGATGCAGGAGAAAGATGAGGAGGAGGAACCCGAGTTGTTTGTGGGCGACTGTGTGCGTCACATGGCTGCAGAAACATGGCTAGGTGACAAAGGTCGTAGCGAGAATGTTGGTGGTGCTTAGGCGGGGCCGCAGTCGGCCCTTCAAGGCCCTTAGGACCAGAACTTTTGCAGCAGGCAGCCTGAAAATGCAGCGGCGTATCTGTTCGAGTTAAGCGCAAACTGCCAAGCCGGGAAGATCCAGGCATATGCGGCAGCATGGCGGAGGTCAAGAAACATTTGGAGGCAGCAGATTTCGGGTTGTGGAGGCTTTCCTTGCTTTGTTGTTCATGTGCTGAAGGTGCGGGGCGTTTGGGGATGAGGTCAGCAGCTATGCTCTTGCGACTTGCAGGGTTTCTCAAGGGCTCGGAGACTCAGCAGCCGATCTTGGCCGAGCCATCGCTCCGATATCATCTTCAAAAGAGGTCTGGCTCGCCATGATAGATGTAAGGAACCTGAAGCTCACAGTCTAGGCCCAAGCCCTAAACCCTAAACCCTAAACCCTAAACCCTAAACCCTAAACCCTAAACCCTAAACCCCAAAACGTAAACCCTCAACCCGAAACTCTAAGCCTCTAAGAGAAGCACGCTGTTTGGGAAGGCCGTGGACATGACCTGGGAGGGCAGCTTCATGGGAGTCCTGGGCAAGAACGGTGTGGTGAAGGCCAGACCAGCGAGATCTTCCAGGGCAGGAAGTTCAGGGGTTAAGGGGTTTAGGGTTTAGGGCTTAGGGCTTAGGGTTCAGGGCTTAGGGCTTAGGGTTTAATAGGGTTTAGGGCTTAGGGGCTTTAGGGATCTGTGGTGGGGGGGGGGGGGGGGGGGGGGGTGTGTTTGTTGATGGAGCGCTCAGTTCCTTGTGTTTTGGAAGGAATTTTGGATTGAGGGGTAAGGGCTTCTTTTTTCAGGCTAGATTTTGCACACCCAGCTCACAGCGATGGTCAAGTTGAAAAGTTTTACATTTGCAAAATGACATGCTTTACTGTAGTTTGGCCAACCATATTATGTATTGCATGTCAGACTTTTTGTTACGACAAGCATGTATTGTATATATATGTATATATCTATATCTATGTATGTTCCAATGCTGAGCTTGTTGTACTGAATTTTTCACACATGTATAGATCTAGGTTTAGAATCAATTACGTCGTTTCTCTGCAATCTCTGTCCCCTGACACGCCCCTGTGTCGCTAGAGCCGTTACCCTCGGTCGAAGGCTGTCCGTTTCCACCCTGGAGACGACAAAGCCCGACAGATTTGCGTCTGCACCTCGGGCTGTTGCGCTGCATTGAGATTTTGCCGTCTTTCCATCTCGACTTCGGGTTTGGGATTCAGGGGTGTTGGGTAGTGAGGGTGTTTAGCCCACCGCGCTGCGGACTAAGCATGCGAACGCACGGATGAAATTTTATGGCAGATTCCAGGAAGAGTGTGCGCCGCGGTTCGGGATTTGCGTTATCAGTTTTAGGCAAGAAACACGTGTAGAGCTTCCCATGCCGATTCATCCCTGACGTCCCTCGATTCCTCACAGCCCCAGTGGCGATCTCATTGGCTATCTAATGGTGCAGCAGTTTGTTCCCTACTCCAGATTCCACAGCCTTTCAAAGATCCTTAGCCCCAAGCGCTTCAACCCAAGAACCACTAGCAGCACTAGCACTACCAACCTACCCAACCTTCATCCCGCACTTCAAGCATAGAATTCTTAAGGGATTTAAGGGGGCCCTGGGATGCTCCAACGCCTTCCGTGTCCCCGGCCTCAGGTGGTGAACGTCCATGAAGGCCCGGAGCTCTCTCTGCCAGGCAGGCTGAGACGTTTTTAGGGTTGCCAGGGTTATCAGAAGCTTTAGTAATGATCCACTCCGGGAAGCCTCCATATAGCGAGGCGGCAAGGGGCGATTCGACGTTCCAACTTCCTTTCAGCCGGCCGGAAGTTGATTCGGGTTGTGGGAATGCAGGCTTCCGACCGAGGCTTCTTGGGCTCGGGGCTCTTTTTTTCGGGATTTGCTTTGCTTCTCTTGAAGAGTGTCTGTGCCAGGTGCATCGCTCACAGTTGTCGAGGACGACGAGAGCGACAAGGAAAGTGTCGACAAAGGCGAGCGCACACTGCACAGCCTATGGGCCATGGAGTCGTGTTTCGGTTATCTCGCGATCGCGCCTGAGCCCAAGGCCCTAAGCCCTTTGTTGCATCAGGCAGCGATGATGAGGAAGAGGAGGAAGAAGAGGTGGGCAGAAACAAGTTAGTGAGCAGGATCACTGCAGCCGTGCCAGAATATAAGGCTTAGCATCAAGTTGTAGACACACAGGTCCGCGCAATTGTAACATGAAGCAGGTACTAGATCTTTCTGGACTAATCTTCAGGTCTTAAAGAATCCCTTGCCCTGTGCATGGCTCACAGGAGCGAGTTCGAGTGCCTCTTCGTGTCAACATGCGAGTTGAGGATCCCCGGCCTGCAATGAGTGGAACAGGCATGGCAGAGAACGGAGTCTTTTCACAAGGTACGCCACCTCAAGTCACAATGCCTGACAAGCCAGAGAACTCAGAGACAAGTGCTATGCCCTGAGCCCCTGACATCCAAGAAGCACCTTGCAGCGTGCCCTTCAAGCTGCCAAGGGCTTTGAATTGCAAGTACCATGGGTTTGTCGGAGTTGCTTGGTTTCGGGATTTTTGATCCAGCGCCCTGCTGCACCTGCAAAGCTTGGCTCAAGCACGGTAACGCGCCTTCTCCCGCGAACGGGCGTCGAGGGCATGACGGTGAACGACACCAAAGCAGCGATTCGCAGCTTCAGGGCTTGCGTGAAGGAGCACAGTGTGGGGTTCATGGATTTTGCGAGATTGTTTGCTACTCGGCTCTCGGCTAGAGGTTGTGGTGTGATATCGAAACTGGCGCTGTTTGCCATTTCACAGCTGGCAGGAGAAGGGAGCATCATCTTGCGTTGGCGAGCGCAAGGCGCATGAGGTTTCTGTGATAGATAGAAAACGTCCTTCAACCCGAAACCTTCCTCAGCCTCGCAGAGGGAATGGATCTTCCGATCTTTTCGGGTTTTCCTAGCGGAGGACATTGCTAGCTTGTTGGAGTCTGAGACCGTCAGGTGGTTGCGGAAGGCCTTGCAACCGCCGTCAAGAGCGAATGCTCGCCCTATGTGGAGGCTGCAGGGGGAAACGGGGTAGTATAATTAGGTTGAGACTGGTTGTTTGACTCTTGCTCGTGACTACCGAAGATAGGCCTGTCCTTTTCGTGTCCGACGTCGTCTGCCACTCCGGGTAAACCCAATCTGATCTTGGCAAGTTCAAGAACCCTCAGTTGCCTAAGCCACCTGAACTCCTAAAGCCTTAGCCTGAACCCATATGCGAAAGTGCCAATTTTTTAAGGGGTCAACGGGTCAACTGTTCAACAGCTTAGCCCCTCAATGCCCCAGCAACGGCAGAGAGCTGAAGGACTTCTTCGCCTGCTTCTCACACCGCTACCAGCTGAGCTCCTGTGGTGACGCCACGGTCTCCAAGCTGCTGAAGTGCCAGGATGCAAACGGATTCGTCGGCATGTACTGTTGTGAAGGTTTTAAGGGTAATCATAAGGGGTCAGACATGCCAAGTGAGGTTACAGCAAGTTATAAGCAGAGTTAGGTTGCTTGCAACCTCAGTGACAGCTGCACATCCGCATGCAAGGGTTCAGGGTTTCCGCACTCCAAAGAGAAGCCCGCGGCCCGACAGAGTTCTTCGGTGTCTTTGGGCTGTTTTGGTCTTGAGGACCTAGGATGGCATCGAGTGTGGACTTCTCGTAGACTCATTGTAGACACCTTCTTTGAAGCCCATAAAACCCTTCAAGACCCTTGACGTAATCTACTCTTCATCGCGTGTTTCAGCAGTAGGCAGCATCTACGGCAGTCGGCTACTGTTATCTTGGCAGGATCAATTTGCGGGACAGCTGATGGCAGGCAAGTGAGGCGGAGACATGGACAATTTGAAAAGCAGCGGAGGGAGAGACCCTCAAGGCTCCGGAAGGCTCCGGATGTTCGGTTCAGAGTGCAGGTTTGACTCAGGGGTTGCCATCTGGGGGTCTCTGTCTCCTGCTTGAACACGATGTGCTTGGCTATGAGCCCAGGATCTGCTTAGCAACAGCTAGGGGTAGATCTGGAGCGACCTTAAGAGCGACCGCATGAAGAGTGCCTTGTTTTTTTTTTCATCAACTTGGCTCAATTTTTGATTCCGGTTCACCTCTGCTTGTTTGAGAGCTTCATAGTTTGTTGACGCGCCTCGGGCAAAGAAAAAGGCATGATGCCCATGGTTGCACGGCCAGGACGCGCCCTGAACCCCGAAACCCCTAAGCCCCTAAACCCTGAGTCACTACATGAGCTTCCTCAATCCTCAATTCTGTGAGCTGGACTTTGCGAAGACCGAATGATTCTAGGAGGTCAGGCGAGGAGACTCGCGGTGTCGAAGCTAGTGCGCTGCGGATCGGCCAGAACCAACACTCCAGTCTTCCAACCCTTTTATACACCCAGAACACTGACCTAGCGTTGGTATTTCAGTATCTGCAACATGGCTCTTGGTCACCCCTTAGCCCCCAAATCCTCATACTGCGCTGCTTCAGGGTTCGGTCACACGATCTTCCGCAGGATATGAAGCGGAAGAAGAAGAAGAAAGTCTGCATTGGCGCTGCTGCCTCAGAAGGAATCTTGGCGTCCCCCTCAACTGAGTCAAGCCTGGCTCAGTCAAACTCAGTCACGCTATATTCTTAGATTTTCTTCATGCATATAAGTAAAAGTAAGCAGATGAATGTTAATATACATATGAATATGAACAAACCCAAGAAACGCACACACAGATACATACATACATAAATACATGCATACATACATACATACATACAGGCAGACAGGCAGACAGACAGACATACATACATACATACACACATACACACATATATATGTATATATTTATGACATATCTACAAATTTTTCGAACACATATACATATATCCGACACCCTGCCCGAGGTCATCTTGGAGCTCGGCGAGAGCGAGACGAACGTCAAGTACGAGGCGCCTTTCTGTTGGTGCCTTGACCCATGGGTGTGTCGGGAAGCTCATGGTCCTCGATTCTGCGTGTCAGCCCGCTCTATACCTCGAAAGCTACGCCCGAGAGCCTTACCCTGTGCCAAAACTAAACTCCCCACGACTGCGCGCCAAAAAAACCTAACCCAAAAGCACCGGAGGACGGCCGCACGAAGCGGGTTGCCAACACCCGGTTGCGCCCCCTGGAGCGTGACTTTGCCTCAGCCGACTCAGCCGTAGATGTTGTTCGGGCTGTTGGGGTTGCTATCACGAAACAAGAATTTCATAATATCAGATTTTAATAACATAACGAGATATTGGTTTCGGATTATGAAGGCCATGTGGGGTTTCTGTGCAGAGCCTCGGCTTGAAGTCTGGAGCCTTGTCCAGGTCACGCGAGACGCCACCGGCTATTCCGGCGACAGCAGCTTTAACGACAGGGGGCGGGGGTGAGGGGGGCGGTGCCAAACTTGCAGATTTCTCACCTCGCATCTCTCTCTGGCTATCGTCTCCGAACCAGGCTCCTTAGAAGCCCCAGTTCGCTGCTTGCGATGGTCAAGGCTGCCTAAGATGTCGTTCCCGCGACTCGCTGCAAGGACTTCCGCTTCACCAAGAATTGTCTCCCGACGGGGATCGAGGCATGGGAGTAGCGTGCTTTGGAAAGGCTCGTGTGTCAAGCTTACCAAGTAGTCGGCACATCATATAGAGTCCAAGGGGGTGTTGAGTGGTTGGGATGGGGGGTTGATCTAGTTTGGGCTGCTTGGTGGTTTCTGTTTTTTAGGCTTTCAGTTTGGAGGCTTTTGGTGTCCACGGGGCTGTGTCCTAAGATGCTTGACGGAAGGTTGTTGGTGATGGCGCTGACTTGGAGAAGAATCGCGCAGGCGGGGCGCCACAAGCCCCCAAACCAGCTCAAGAGCCGCGGTTTCAGATGTCACCTCCAGGTCAAAGCTACCTGCTTTTGAAGAAGTGACTCTGCTGCACAACATGCTGTCGAGAGAACATACGCTGCCCCAAGCCCCAAATCCTAAGCCCTAAGCCCTAAGCCCTAAGCCCTACACCCTAAACCCTAACCCTGAACCCTAGACCCTCCAAGGAACACCTACTTGAGGGTACCACTACGGGGCCTTCGTCACGAGAAGCCCGGGCCTCCGAGCAAGCACCTGGTTTTCGGGATCCTGCTTGTCTGCACTTCACTTCATTTAGTGGCCCTCGCAGCTTCAAATTTTTTCGTGGCAGAGTAGACCACAGTCTGCTCAGCAGGCGTGGAACATCTTTATGGACCCTATAGAGTTTAGGGCTTATTGGGGTTTTGTGTTGTGGGGTTTTAGGTCTTGTTCAGGAAGCCAGGGTTAGGGACTAGGGGTTGAGATAGTTTGGGGGGGGTTTGAGTCTCATGGTTTGTGTGGCCAGGACCCGAACTTTAAATTTCTTAAGCCTGAACAAGCCCTCAAGCCCTTGAAAAGCGCATTGCTTGGGCTCCCAGTGCTGAGGCTGCGGCCAGGCGAGCCCATCCCCCGCTACACGCTGTCCCTCGAGGCCACCCCTGTGCCGCTCTGAAGCCTGTTCGAAGTGGCTGCTGCTGTCTAATTGGCATCAGGCAGCCGGATCCGTTCAGTCTGCACACGTGGGCCTGTTCAAAACTCTACGCATCCCAAACTCCGCAAAGTTGAACTGAAGCACACGCTTCCCCAAAGCGCACGCTCCACTGCAACAAGCTGAGCCCTGAATTGAGAAGTCCTCACAGACATCCCCTAACAGCCCACCCAAAAATCCCACAGCCCTAGAGCCCTGAACTTAACCCCAAACCGCTCCAGCACCGTGTGCCAAACCAGGTTCGACTCGCAGACAGTCATCGGCGCCTGGGAGATTCCCCCTGGCTCGGGCCCCTGGCACCTGGAGGGTTGGACTTTGTGCTGAGCCCTAAAGGTCTAAGGCTTAGGATTTGCACAGGGGAGTTCGGGGTCGAGGAATTTACCGTAGGGCCTGGGGGGTCTTGAGAGGTTTCCAGCCGCTCCAGCCTTTTGGTTGGCGGCTTTTCTGGGATGTGGAGGTCGCAGAAGTTTCTGGTCTCAGAGGTTTAAAACTTCGGAGCCATGACGTCTGCTGCCAAAGTGTGTTTATATGTATATATATATATATATATAACATATATTCAACGCGGTTAACATATATTCAACGCGGTTAAAGAGTTTTGATGCCAGTGACGACGATGCGATCTCATTGTTGGACTTTCTTAGTTAGGGTCAGGCCTTGCTGCAGCGGCCTTGCCGGTCTTGACAAGCGAATCTGAAGCAAAATTTGCTGCAAATAGCCGTGTTTTCGGCATGTTCGCAACAGGCATGAACACTTGTGCATGCTGCATCCGGGAGATGGGATGGAAGTTACGTTCATAATCCTCACAGTGGTTAACAGGTTGGTAATAAGGGAGAAGAGGATAATGGTAGATCGAGGGTGGGTCTTTGAGGCACTTGCGACAGTGTGGCTGGTTGCAGAAACATCAAACGTGCTCCTGCAAATTTTATATCAGGCAAATACGCTGAACATTCCACTGTTGTGGGCATGTTCGCAACTTGTGGTAGTGCGTCTTCTTCCAGACACGTCAAGCATTCTGCAGCATGTTGTATAGAGTAGCAAAAACGATGTAAATACCGGTGTTGTGTGTTTTGGGCATGGTTAGTTTTGGGCATGGTTTGCAGTAACATGGTCGTAACCCTTGCCCTGCCCCGAAGAGAAACATGCAAAACCGGGCACGCTTTCACCCCCGCCTGCTCAAATATGGATATTCGCATGTGTATGCAGTACTAATATATTTGAATACTGCTTCTCATATTACTGCTAATGCTACTGGTCACATGAATATCAATACCAACATTCACCATCTTTATATTCCAAACATCTATACGTCTGGATATTCAGACTGTGATCCCATTATGGGTGTCCTTAACAGAGGGCCCAACGGAGACCATACTTTACAGAAGCCCCCCCCGGCCATATGAATACTAGTATTCATATTGATCATTTCATGTTGTCATTTGAAACAGGCCGATTGCCGATACCACGCCCGATAGCCTCAACTGTCAGGCACAGACATCATTACCATTGTCAATCTCGCCATTGTTGTTGTGTTGATGCTGCTATTGCTACTGCTAATGTTATCTAATGTTATTGGTGTCATTTGTTTTTGTCCCGATCATAACGAGAATGATCATTATGGCGTTTTACGCTTTAGAGTCCGACGAATGTTGTTCTTGCTACGATGACAAGCGCTCCCTCAGCCTGCTTCAACCGACGACCAGGTCGCTTTTCCAGGCGAGCTTTCCGGATCCACACTCCACCGACGAGCTTTGTGTCGTGCCTCCCCCAGCAAAACCTGCAGGTGTTGGGGATTTCGGGTTGCAGCCTTTCATCCTTCCTGCATGTCCTTGTACATCCGGGCTTCCCAGCGTGATACGTAGCAGCACGACTGCTCCACCGCTTGATGGCTCTGGGAGTCTGGCATGTTGGAGATTTCTCGATTCTGATCATGCGAACTTTCAAAGCCGCATAATCCGTAGCGCTGAGCCCTGAACCGTGGCAGAGATCTTGAAATTCTCAGACGGTGCTCTACCCGTCACTTGCCTTTGCCTCCCCTGACCCGGTGCAAGGTTGCTGAAGACAAGCCGCACAAGCGGAAGTGGAAGGCTGGCAGGGGGGGGGGGGGTGAAAACATATTAACCGAATGCCATCTACCGTCCGTCATACTTTCTGACGATTCCGGGCGGGTGAAGCTCTTGCAGCATTGCTCGGCAAGACCGCTGGAGACCCTAAGCCTCCGAAACTTACCGTCTGAACTTCAACCCGGCGACCCGCCAAACCTGGAAGCCCACAAAGCCCAAAGCCCTTCCCTTACACTGAACCGAAAAACCCTAAACCCTAGCCTGAAACCCGAAACCATAAACCTGAATCCGAAACCCTAAACCCTAAACCCTGTATAAACCCTAAACTCCACCCTCAACCCTCCACCCTCAACCCTCAACCCTCCACCCTCAACCCTCAACCCTCAACCCTCAACCCTCAACCCTAAACCCTCAATCCCAAACCGAAAGGTGCTGACGAAGGAGAACGGGCTCTTGGTGAGCGCGGAGGCAGATCCGAACTCCAAGGTGGCCCACGGCGAGGGTTTGAGGGGTTTTAGGGGTTTTAGGGGTTTTAGGGGTTTTAGGGGCTTTAGGGGGTTTAGGGGTTTTAGGGGTTTTAGGGGCTTTAGGGGTTTTAGGGGTTTTAGGGGTTTTAGGGGCTTTAGGGGTTTTAGGGGTTTTAGGGGTTTTAGGGGTTTTAGGGGTTTTAGGGTTTTAGGGGTTTTAGGGGTTTTAGGGGTTTTAGGGGTTTTAGGGGTTTTAGGGGTTTTAGGGGCTTTAGGGGTTTTAGGGGCTTTAGGGGTTTTAGGGGTTTTAGGGGCTTTAGGGGTTTAGGGTTTAGGTTTTGGGGTTGATTGCAGCAAAAGCTAGAGACACAAAATCACGCTAAGTATTGATGACAAGGACACTGATAGTAAGAAGCCTACGTAGCTTGCAGAGGGCGCTCCTTGAGCTGATAGCCCCCGGCTGGATTGCTGGATTCCGAAGAGTTTGAGATTGAGGGAGGAGGTTAGAGCCTGGATGAAGTCCTTAAGCCCCCCAAACTTCAGATGCCTCACGTCATCACATCCTTATGCCCTTTACCCTAAACCTTAAACCTAAACCCTAAACCCTAAACCCTAAACCCTAAACCCTAAACCCTAAACAGCCAGGAGTTGTGCCGGCTACCTGCAAATGCAGTGGTCGTGGAGGAGAGGGCCCGCAAAGCCCTAGGGGCCTTAGGCTGTGTTCAAGTTCAGAGGACGGTCATTGGGGGTTAGTAGGGGGAGAAGCTCATCCACGTGTAGAGTTCTGTAAAGCCTCAGGGCAGGCCTGCACTGAAGACCAGACGTCCTACAACAAAGTCGTGGCTCTGGGAGGATGGCATTCCGCCTAAGCGACTGCCCACTGGCGAGCGCCGCTTGCGCATCCGCTACAAGGCTGAGACGCATGGGATCGCATGAGAGAGACTGGGGTTCTTGCGGTTCGCTGCAGGAGGCAGTGCACCTGGCTAGATGACGTGGGCCTAAAAATGGCAATCGCCGTGCTGGCAGTTCATGGTTTGAAGGGAGACCTTGCTCCGAGCCATACTCAGACCCGAAGCCTTGTTCTGCCTGAAGCTGTACATTGCGCGTCGTGTTGGAGGCAGACGCAGCCAAGCAGGCCGATGGTGACCTCGTTGACACCATGGAGCCCGAGGACTCCAGCTCACCTTGAGGGGTCTGGGACTGAAGGGAAGGCAAGTTCAGGGTTTGGGGTTTTGGGGCCGCAGGGGTGTCCAAAGGCCGAAGAGCCGCCCTCGAAGGCTTGAGGGTTTTGGCCGTCGCAGGCTGGTAAAGCCTTGGAGGCATGCCGGTGGTTGATATCATAAAGTGTACTGTGGCTGTTGCAAGCCACCGAAGATGCCAACCAAACCCCCTCAACCCCCTAGCCCGAGGCCCACACCCGAAGCCCCAAAACCCAGCAGCCGCGGCTCCCCGCAAGGAGTATGTCGTGGAGGTGGAAGCAGGCCAGCCTTCGGGGCTTCCAGGTGTCGGGCTTCCGAAGCTAGGCTCCTGGCTTCCTAAAAGTGGGAGGGGGTTCTGGGGTTCAAGGGCGGGTTCAAAGGGTGCAGAGGGGTTTGGGGGCCTCAATCTCAGCCATGTGACAGGATATTATGGGAACGACTTCGGTGCAGCCGCGACGGCGGTGCGCATCTGTTCCAAGGGAGCCGCTTGGCGATTGTTGGACACGGCGCAGAGTCATTCTCGTCGCGTGTTCAAGACGAATCACGTACCCAAATCCGGGCTTCCTATGTTCACCAACAACACTCCTGTTTACCAACAACACTCCTGGTGCTCTACGCAGTTGGGTGTGGAGGTGGAACGATTTAGAATGCAACTTTGACTCCATATCGATGCATTCGTTAGAATTCACAGAGAGGACCTCCCAAGCCCCTGTATGGCCTAAGAGCCTCAATGATCCGCACTTCTCTCAGGTTCTGAAGACACTCAACTTCCGCCCGGGTGTCGAGGGTGGCCTCGCCGGTGTGGATGGGGAGGCCGGAGCCAACATCGGCGCGGGGGCCCAGGTTTCTGCATCGTCATGCGATGCTGTGAATGAACAAACTTCGAGTTAGGTTACAAAGCCAAAACATGAAGATGGCTTCTGTATGGTTCCGTAATATCAACTGAAGTTGTTTGGTGTCGGCTTGTGTAAGGATGTTGGGGTTCAGGGAGGGTTTGGAGACTTGCTGGGTTGAAGGGCTTGGGACTTCCGGCTCTTGGACAAATGCAGGGGAGGGGGCAGTGCTGTTTCTGCGGCTCCGTACCAGTGGAGTGTTCGGGCTTGAAAGGCCCTGAGAATCTGAACGCGCGAGCCCTGAAGCCAAGGTCCTTGAAGCCAAGATCATAAATCTGAAGCCCTTTAAACCCCAAAACCCACAGAAGCAGGCTGGACCCCACGGGATCGGATGATGCACATCGTGCGGATCACCATCCGCAAGACAGGCGTCCGCGTTGAGAAGCTATTTAGGTTCAGGTCTCCGAGCTTAGCGCTCCAGGCTTCGTGTTTCCTGGTGCTGTGGTGTAGGATTGCGCGAATGGCAGCGCACGGGTTAGGGCCATGGGGTCTGGGCCTTCGGGGCGATTGGCTACCCAAAGCCCTATACAGCTCGCAAGCCCTAAAGCCCAAAGCCCTTAAGCCTCTAACCCCTCCAAAATCCTACACCTACACAAGTGCCAGGCTGGCACACGTTTCAGATCATCGACGGCACCGATTCGGAGAAGACATGGTCCAAGGATTTCAAGGCCAGAGCTTTGGAGGGCATTCGGGCACTTCGGGGTTGAGGTTGAAAGCTTGAAGGGCTTGTCGAACACAACAATCTAGCATCCACACGTGGGGGCTCGTGGTGAAGGTAGGATTCCGAAATTGGAGCCAACTTCGCTTGCTGTCACTTCGAGGAGCACGAAGGGCAATTAGCCACTCCTTGGTGAAAGACGTGATGAGGAGTTTCAATTGGCAGTCCGAATCTTCTCTCTCTCTCTCTCCCTCTCTCTCTCTCTCTCTCTCTCTCTGTCTTTCTCTCTTTCCCTCTCCCCCCAAACACCAACACATGAATCCCACACCCCGAGCCCCACAAGCTTTTGAACACCTGATCAGAATGCCAGGTTCTTGGTTGGTTTGACGACAGCAGCAAGGGCCGGGGTCCTCAGATTGTGCACATCTGCATGTACGTACGTTTACTCGTGTATTTATGCAAGTTAATGTGTACCCTGTACCTGTACAAACCTGAAAAGAGATCTAGCTGATGATTGTGTTGATGTACGCTTTCAATATACGCCTGGGTACTACTGCTTTAGTCACGGCTACGTGATGCAGTGGTGCAGATCGCAAGAGATCGCAATGTTCAGGCAAGTTCTTCGGCCTGTGCCAGTGTCTGGAGCCTTGGAGTCGCCCGGAGCGGCTCCAAGGTGTCGAGAAACGAGACATCACGAAAGTCACGAGCTCTGAAGCCTGGAGAAGAGGAAGACAATGTTGCTTTCCCAAGACGCCTACCTGGCTCTAGCTCTGACAAGCACTTTTTCAATTGAGCATCCTGGTGAAGATAGGTTTCGTTCAAGGAGACACGGGCTGGATCGGGCTGGCCTCACCGAGAGGCATCGGGGAGCGGGATTTCCCTCTCTGGCCCATCAGCCGCGTGGTTGGAGTGCTGGTGCAGGGGTCCGAGAAGAAGGAGAAGCTGCAAGGGACGAAGACATCAAAAGCAGTTGCTAAGAAGCTTGCTGCCAAGCAGCCGGTCTTGTTCCTCCAGGCATAGAGTGGTTGATTGGGTGCGCTTTTGCGCGTGTTTTGACAACCAACACGTCTTGTTCTGCTGTAGCCGGACACCTGGGGCCTTTTGCAGACGAAACTCTGTTTCAACAACTCTGGTTAATATGGGTTGGGGTTCTGTCGCGGTACTTCACCTGGCTTGTTGGTATCGTCACTTCACAGCCCTGCACACTGAACTTCCTTAACGTTCCTTAACTCTAAACCAAGGCGTGTCGGGCATCTCCCTCACGGATCCCGACAACGAAGAGCTGGAGCTGGGCAAGGAGAGGGCATCCCACAGTCTGAGGTTTTGAGGGGGAGCCAGCAGATCACCTGACGTACCAAGCCTGAGAGGAGCGCGAGTACCACAACAGCGGCACGCACAAGCTGCGCTTGCGCAGGCTGGGTGAGGCAAGGCCCGGGGAAGGGCGCAGCCCAAAAACGGGTTGGTCCTCAAACTAACGCCCCTTGTGAAAGACCCAGGCACTCCGTTGAACAGAGGGCTGCAGCCTTTGCGATGCAGGCATCGGCTGACATGGACGACAAATTCGACCCTCGCGGCTGGGCCGGGGGCTCGGACAATGGCGAGCAGGGTTCGGTTTGTGGTTTGTAGCTGTGTGCATGAGTGTCCGCAGAGTGAGTGCAGCTCGTCGCACTGACACTTGAGCAATGAAACATGCAACTCCACACCTTTGAAATCAACTAGCACTCTCTAAACCTGATCTGCGTGAATGCAGCTGTCAGAGGTGACCATCCGCAAGACAGACATGGAGCTGGTGGAGGCTTCGTTCAGGGTTGTCATGGTGTTTTTTTGCCCTAAACCACAAGATTCTGCAATTCTATCGCAGCAGGTCCTTTTCCACCTCCTTTCTTGTGCAATCTGGTTGTGACAATGAGGTCGTTGCAAAGCGAAGCTCTTTTGTGACAGGAAGCGCACGGACAGAAGCCGCCGAAAGGCCCTCAGCCGAGCCCTCGACAAGGGCTGGCCGTGACCGTGGTGCTTTGTGTTGCTTATTGCGGATGTGTGGGGCTTTGCAAGTCAGGGTTTGGGGGAGTGTCTGGGTGTCAGGGTTCAAGTAGTGATTCTTATCACCGTCACCAGTATTGTAAGACAATTGTGAATATAGCTGTATACACACATATATACTAGACACAATGTACGTTATCTAATGTTTGTACAGATTTCGCAAGCAAGTCTACTGGTTGAAGCATTCTCCAGTTGTGGGAGGGCCCAAGACAGTCTCGTCAAAACTGTTGAGCTCTTTCAGGAGACTTGCTTGTATCCGTTCCGTCATGCTGCGCATTTGGAGACCTTCGGGACAGGAGCTCGCCGCGATGGCCAAGACGGAGTTGAAAGATGTGATTACTTTGAAGCGCCAATTGTGTGAGATGTATGGGTTCCCTGTATGCCTTCAGCAGCTCCTACACGACGGTAGCCTGCTGGATGATGTGACGCAGCTGCATGCCGAGGCAGCAGGTGACATGCCCATGAATGTGCAGCTGGTGCTCCTAACGGTTTCTGGCGATGAGCAGATATGGGCGGCTGCAGATGAGCTAGCGCACGCTGCCTCGGAAAATCACCTCGCGTTGGCCCGCTATTTGCTGGAAGCTGGTGCCGACAAGGACGCAGAGGGTGACAACGGGACAGCCCTAGTGCTTGCATCTCAGCAGGGCCACCTTGAAGTGGCATGCTTGTTGCTGGAAGCTAGTGCCGATACCGAGGCGCAGGATCGGGATGGCTGGACTGCCCTTATGCACGCCGCCGTGAACAACCGCATTGAGATTGCGAGGTTGTTGCTGCAGGCTGGTGCCGAGAATGACGTCGAGGGCGACTGCGGAATGACCGCTTTGATGTTGGCGTCCGCCAGTGGCCACACTGAGATGGCACGCTTGCTGCTAGAAGCTGGTGCTGACAAAGACGCTGAGGGGTATGACAGCGGAATAACAGCCCTAATGCATGCCTGTGCAAGTGGCCACAGCAAGACTGCGCATTTGCTGCTTGCAGCTGGTGCCTGCGTAGACTTTCAGGATGGACGCTTGTGGACAGCCCTAATTCACGCGTCTGCGGGTGGTCAGCTGGAGTGTGCAAGCCTGTTGTTGGAAGTTGGTGCCGAGAAAGATTTGCCAGACAAGGACGGTTGTACGGCCCTGATTCGTGCATGTAGGAGTGGCCATGCTGTGATTGCGCGTTTGCTGCTGGATGTTGATGCCGCGACAGACTTTCAGGATGACCGTGGAATGACAGCCCTGATGTACACCTCTCTGCATGGCCACACTGAGATTGCGCGTCTGCTGCTGGCAGCCTGTGCCAGCACCGCCTGTCAGGACCTTTGGGGAGCGAATGCCTTAATGATCGCATGTGAACGCGGTCACATTGAGATTGTTCGCTTGCTGCTGGAAGCCGTTGCCGACATTGACCTTCAGGACGAAACCATGATGACAGCTCTAATGCATGCTTGTGCAAATGGCCACATTGAGATTGCAAGCCTGCTGCTGGAAGCGGGTGCCCAAATTGATTTCGAGGGTGGATGCACATGGACAACTCTGATGCACGCGTCTGCAGACGGTCACACTGAGATTGCAAGGTTACTGCTGGAAGCTGATGCCGATGAAGATTTCCAAGACCAGAATGGCGACACAGCCCTCATCTGTGCGTGTATCAACGGACACAGCCAAACTGCACGGTTGCTGCTGGACGTTGGTGCTTACATGGACTTTCAGAATGAGCGTGGCTTGACAGCCCTAATGCACGTGTCTATATTTGGTGATGCCGAGATTGCAGGATTGCTGCTGGAGGCTGGAGCGCGCAAGGACATTCAGACCGGAAGTGGGATGACGGCACTGATTTTTGCAGCTGAATATGGCCACGTCGAAGTTGCGCGCTTGCTGCTGGAAGCTGGCGCTGACAAGGACTTGCGGAGTGGGCGTGGAATGACAGTCCTTATGTTTGCAGCGGGATGTGGCCACGTCGAGTTGGCGCATTTGTTGCTGGAAGTCGATGCTGACAAAGAAGCACAGGACCAGGACGGCTTGACGGCCCTTGCACACGCTTCCAAGAATGGCCACTTGGAGATCGGGCGTTTGCTCTGGTGGTAGCCGCGAAAGGTTCATGCTCAGACGCAGAAGTTGTACCGTTGTGATCCGTATCCGTGCCGGAAAAATGATATAGAGGTTGCAAAGTACCAAAGGCAACTTCATCTCACCCCCTCCATACATCCCCTCTCCCCCTCCAAAAGAACTGAGCCGAGTGTTGAGGTGCTTCCTGAGGGCCGGCTTGTCCGACCGCCCGGCCACGAGCAACAGGCGCTCTCTTTGAGTCTTTGAGGGGTTCACACTTGAGCTGTGGCGCCCCGTAGAGTATGCCTCGTAGTACGGAGCCTATGATGACCTGCGCGGTGAACCTACCCAGGTACTTACGATCCGACCGTTGGCACACAGTGACCATCACTGCCGACTGCCAGGATCGAACGGTGCCCGTGGCTCGCTTGTTGAAGTGTCTGGTTCCTGCTCCTGGTCCTCACAACATTGATGGAATCTGCTGACGCCTTTGCAAGACGGTGTGATTTCCAAGGCCACAGGGCCGGTTTCCTGGCTGCTGGGTGCAGGTGCTCATCTTTCTGGACGGTATCCAGGCAACAGAGAAGGAGATCAACATCAGCGCGAGTCCTGATGGATCTCTGTGTGGTCTTGTAACGAGGATCAACACCCAGACCCTGAGCCCAAAACCCCGAACACCAAAGCCGGAACCCTAAGAAACGCTCAGGAACCCCAAGCTCCCCAACCCTTAACGCACCTAAGCCCTAAACGCCGCCTGCCCCTAGAGACCGCAGCGTGCCCAGGCGCCAGCGCCGGGGGGCTGGGCACCGATGACGCGGGTCGCAGGGTTCAGGGCCAGGAGCCCAGAGGAGCCCAGAGGAGCTTGGGGAGGGCACTCCCCCCGCTGTGGGCCTGGGAGACTTGGGGCAGTCATAATCTTTCATGGCCTTTGGGCCAGGATGGTGACTAGTCCCCTGGAGCTTAGACGTGCGCTCTCCTCCACAATTTTGGGTATGGAGTACTCTCATCATGCCGAAGGCTCGTGTGAGGAGCCCTTGAGTTGAGACCTCCTTCGTGTGTAACTGGCAGGCTCAAGTTGTGAGTGTATTTGGTGGTCCAGTCATGTCATCCCCAAGCACTGGACCTGTCATCAGGACCAGGGAAGGGCTTTTGACAGGGGCACCGCGATTGGTCGAGACCTTTGGAAGGGGCGATCGGGCTCGGCAAAAATGAGATAGGAATCAGTTGAGCCACACCCAGCCTTGTTTGAATCATGCTGGTCTGATACACGTCGGGAGCATAGAATTACCCCAGCTTGTTGATATCCAAAGCACACCCTCCCGTTTGTCGACAGGAATGCAGATTCACCAAGAGCGGGCGACACCAATGGTTCGTCGATAGCTTTGACGGCAGCGGGCTCAGGTGGCCTTGAAACCTTCGCTTGCTTTGATGGGCACGAGATGGGGGATGTGCCGAGTGTGGCGACATGCAGTCATCGGAAAGGTCTGTGGAGCTTCCATTCGGGAGTCGTCTTTGCATTCGCATTGTAGACTAGGGCCTAGGGCAGAGGCGGCAAGGAGACATCTGAGTCCACAGTTGCTGGTTTCGCTGAGGTGACGACTCTCCTGAAGAATATGCGGCCCCGACACGATTGGTGTAGTGTTTTGGATCCCTAAGCTCAGAAGCCCAAGCAAGGTGCAGAATGATGCCCCGATTGTTCCAACCTCCAAGCAACATGTTTCTCTTTTTAGTCCTCAGGATCGGAGCGGGTATCTTCTCATTGCCCATCGGACTGCGCTATGCGAGCCCTCTTCCTGGCCTGGTGGTGCTGGGGAGCCTCTGCTAAATGGAAGCCGGGGTTTAAGGTGTCCAGCGTCTGGTGGCCATTGTGGGCCTTGGTAGATGGGCTCAAGGTGCGGCACCAAGATGCCTCTGAAAGGTTCTTCCGCACGACGCGGAAGCGGGCCTGTCAAGCCGAGTGTAGCCAGCAGTTGACCAGTCTCCCTGGGAAAGCGTTTTTGGGTGTTTGGTTCTCTCGCGTCTCGAAAGCCAAGCTCTGTTGGAGAAGCGCCTTTTTTGGGCTTTTAGGGTTCGCTGATCAGTGAAAGAAAGACCCCAGGGCCCATCTGCCAAGGATCATCGGCGTCCTTAGCGCTGGCTCCTACTGGATGGTGGGGTACTCGTGCATTACTTGCAAAGCAAAGTCGTTCAGAGAGCTCTGGAGCAAACTTTTGAACGCCAGTACAATGTGGCTGATTGATGTTATCATCTTCGTGAACGGTTGGATAACGCTGGTTTGCTACATCATCTTGATCGGAGACTTCATGACCAAGTCCTTCCTTGGTTTGTTGGGTCCGGACCACCTGCTTACAAAGAGTCGGGTGCTAAATCAAACTGTCATCACAGCCATGGTTTTGCTTCCTCTGTCTTCAGCCAAAGATTTGAATATGTTGGCGTACACATCCATTCTCGGCCTCGGGGTCTTGGTCTATGTGGTGATCCTGGTCCTTCAGGACTCCTGGATGAACTCCTCGAGCGTCAGTCACGACACACCGATGTGCGAATGGAACATGGGGATGTTTGAGGCCATCTCTCTCTACACAAATGCTTTTGTCGCACACTACAACGCTCCCAAGGTTTTCGCAGAACTGGCCAATCCCAGCTATGAGCGCTGGACCATCCTGGTAGGGATTGCATATGGCATCGCCTTTGTGGTCTATGCGGAGTTTGCCTGGGCTGGCTTCCGGCGCTTCGAGCATGAGGTGCAAGGCAACATCCTCAAGAGACTTGCCTGACTTCCCAGTTCGCCAGTTTCGGCAGTTGGGCATGGATGCGTGTTGGTGTTTTTTTCGTCTAGGATCCCATTTCCGGGGGCATTCTGGGCCTGTGTGGGTCGGCTTGGTCCGCCCAGGAACTATGGGCCCCAGCTGCACGTGCTGATCGCCTGGCTAGGCATGGGCTTCTCCGTCGCCTTCACCTACCCGCTCGTCTTCAACAGCGCACGTGAGGCCCGGTGGACTCTCAGAAGCTAGCAGATATCATGCAGTGTTGATATATATATATATAGATGTATGTATATATGTATACATACATACATGTATATATGTATATATGTGTGTATTTATTTATGTATATATGTATATATGTATATATGTATATATGTATATGTACGTAGGACCTTTAGGGTCTATTTGGCACGCCTCGTTTGCCGCCGGGAAATCCCTAGATTTGATTTTTCAAGGATTTCATGAAATTTAAAATGCCCAAAAAACCCTTGAAATCCTTAAAAAATCAAATCCCGGGATTTAATATTTTAAGGATTTCAAGGATTTTTTGGGCATTTTAAATTTCATGAAATCCTTGAAAAATCAAATCCCGGGATTTAGTTTTTCAAGGATTTCAAGGATTTCATAAAATTTAAATACCGGAAAACCTCCCCTCCCCACCCAGAGTACGGGAAGACCACGCGGATTTTAAAATTTATGAAACCCTTGAAATCCTTGAAAAATTAAATCCCGGGATTTAATTTTTCAAGGATTTCATAAAATTTCAAATGCCCAAAAACCCTTGAAATCCTTAAAAAATCAAATCCTGGGATTTAATATTTTAAGGATTTCAAGGATTTTTTGGGCATTTTAAATTTTATGAAATCCTTGAAAAATCAAATCCCGGGATTTAATTTTTCAAGGATTTCAAGGATTTCATAAATTTTAAAATCCGCGTGGTCTTCCCGTACTCTGAGTGGGGAGGGGGGGGTTTGCTTTTGCAGGAGTTCCGGTATTTAAATTTTATGAAATCCTTGAAATCCTTGAAAAATCAAATCCCGGGATTTAATTTTTCAAGGATTTCATAAAATTTAAAATGCCCAAAAAATCCTTGAAATCCTTAAAAAATCAAATCCTGGGATTTAATATTTTAAGGATTTCAAGGATTTTTTGGGCATTTTAAATTTTATGAAATCCTTGAAAAATCAAATCCCGGGATTTAATTTTTCAAGGATTTCAAGGATTTCATAAATTTTAAAATCCGCGTGGTCTTCCCGTACTCTGAGTGGGGAGGGGGGGGTTTGCTTTTGCAGGATTCCGGTATTTAAATTTTATGAAATCCTTGAAATCCTTGAAAAATTAAATCCCGGGACTTGATTTTTCAAGGATTTCATGAAATTTAAAATGCCTAAAAAATCCTTGAAATCCTTAAAAAATCAAATCCCGGGATTTGATATTTTAAGGATTTCAAGGATTTTTTGGGAATTTTAAATTTCATGAAATCCTTGAAAAACCAAATCCCGGGATTTAATTTTTCAAGGATTTCAAGGATTTCATAAATTTTAAAATCCGCGTGGTCTTCCCGTACTCTGAGTGGGGAGGGGGGTTTGCTTTTGCAGGATTTCCGGTATTTAAATTTTATGAAATCCTTGAAATCCTTGAAAAATTAAATCCCGGGATTTGATTTTTCAAGGATTTCATAAAATTTAAAATGCCCAAAAAATCCTTGAAATCCTTAAAAAATCAAATCCCGGGATTTAATATTTTAAGGATTTCAAGGTTTTTTGGGCATTTTAAATTTTATGAAATCCTTGAAAAATCAAATCCCGGGATTTGATTTTTCAAGGATTTCAAGGATTTCATAAATTTTAAAATCCGCGTGGTCTTCCCGCACTCTGAGTGGGGAGGGGGGGGGGGGTTTGCTTTTGTAGGAGTTCCGGTATTTAAATTTTATGAAATCCGTGAAATCCTTGAAAAATCAAATCCCGGGATTTAGTTTTTCAAGGATTTCATGAAATTTAAAATGCCCAAAAAATCCTTGAAATCCTTAAAAAATCAAATCCCGGGATTTAATCTTTTAAGGATTTCAAGGTTTTTTTGGGCATTTTAAATTTTATGAAATCCTAAAATCAAATCTCGGGATTTGATTTTTCAAGGATTTCAAGGATTTCATAAATTTTAAAATCCGCGCGGTCTTCCCGTACTCTGAGTGGGGAGGGGGGCGTTTGCTTTTGCAAGAGCTCCGGTATTTGAAGTTTATGAAATCCTTGAAATCCTTGAAAAACTAAATCCCGGGATTTAATTTTTCAAGGATCTCATGAAATTTAAAATGCCCAAAAAATCATTGAAATCCTTAAAGAACTAAATCCCGGGGATCGGTTTAGGGTTTAGGGTTTAGGGTTTAGGGTTTAGGGTTTAGGGTTTAGGGTTTAGGGTTTACGGTTTAGGGTTTAGGGTTTAGGGTTTAGGGTTTAGCGTTTAGGGTTTAGGGTAATATCCTTGAAACCCTTAACAACAATCAAATACCGGATTTGATTGTGTAAGGAGTTCATAAAAAGTTAAGACGCCGAAAAGAATTTAAACCCTTTAAAATCAAACCCCGGGAATTGTCTTTTCCAGGATTTCAGACATACCCGCTCATTGCCCATCCCACATCACCCCGCATCATCTCCCATCATCTCCCATCGTTTCTCTCATCCCCCATCATGCCCCATCATCCCCCAATCATCCCCCATCATCTCCCATCATTTCGGGGGGGGTGAAAGGGATGATGGGGGATGATGGGGGATGATGGGGGATGAGACAGTCAGCCCCCTTATCATGTCCCATCGTCTCTCTCATCCCGCGTCATCCCGCGTCATCCCCCATCATCCCCCATCATCCCCCATCATCCCCCATCATCCCGCATCATCCGCCATCATCCCCATCATCTCCCATCATCCCCCATCATCCCCCATCATCATTCCCCATCATCTCTCATAATCCCTTTCACCCCCCCATCATCCACCATCATCCCCCATCAGCCCCCATCATCGTCCCCGATCAGCCCCTATCATGCCCCATCATGTCTCTCATCCCGCATCATCCCCCATCATTCCCCATCACCCCCCATCATCTCCCATCATCCCGCATCATCCCCCATCATCCCCCATCATCATTCCCCATCATCTCCCATAATCCCTTTCACCCCCCGTCTTGAGGGGTTAGTGACTGCCCTAGAGGTTAATCGTATGTCCCCCCGCTTCGTGTTGTTGTGATTTGGTAGGGGCCCAGAGGTTTGTATGAGTTGTTTTCTTCGTTCGTGTTGTAAGGGTTTTGTGAGGGCCCCGGAGGTTTGTCGCATGTCCCCTTTCTTCGTGCTTGTAGGGTTTGGGGAGTGTCTAGATAATTGTCAAAAATCATTCCTTCCGCGCTCGTACTATGAGGGGCTAGTGGCTGCCCTAGAGGTTTGTCGTACATTCCCCCGCTTCGTGTTCCTGAGATTTGGTAGGGGCCAGAGGCTTGTCATATGTCCCCTCCCTTCGTCCCTTCGTGTTGTGAGGGTTGCATTCGGCCTTGGAGGTTTGCCGTATGTCCCCTTTCTTGGCGTCTAGATGATTGTCATCATAAGTCATTTGCTTCCGTGGTCGTATCATGAGGGCTATTGACCGCCCTAGAGATTTGTCGTATGCCCCCCTGCTTCGTGTTCCTGTGAGTTGGGAGGGGCCTAAAGGTTTATCTTTTGTCCCCTCCCTTCGTCCCTTCGTATTGTAAGGGTTTCGTGAGCGCTCTGGAGGTTTTTCATATATCCCCTTTGTTCGTGCTTGTAGGGTTGAGGGAGTGTCTAGATGATTATCACATATCGTTTGCTTCCGCAGTCGCTATGAGGGTATTGATTGCCCTAAAGATTTCTCGTGTGTCCCCCGCTTCGTATTCCTGTGATTTGGTAGGGGTCTAGAGGTTTGTCGTAATTCCTCTCCCTTCGTTCCTTCGTGGGATGTTTGCGTGTGTCCCCTTTCATCGTGCTTGTAGGGTTTGGGGAGCCTAGACGACTGATATATACATATATATAATTCGATTCCGTGCTCGTATTGTGAGGGGCTAGTGATCGCCCTAGAGGTTTGTCGTATGTCCCCCCGATTCCTGTTCCTGAGATTTGGTGGGGGCCTAGAGCTTTGTCGTATGTCCCCTCCTTTCGCCCCTTCGTGTTGTAGGGGTTTTGTTGGGCCTTGAAGGCTTGTCGTGTGTCCCCTTTCTTCGTGCTTGGAGAGTTTGAGGAGCGTCGAGATGATTACCATACATCATTTGCTTCCGTGCTCGTACTATGTGCGGTTAATTAGTGACTGCCCTAGAGGTTTGTCGTATGTCCCCTTCCTTCGTCCCTTCGCGTTGTATGGGTGGTAAGGGTTTTGTGAGGGCTTTGGAGGCTAGTCGTATATCCACTTTCTTCGAGCTTGTAGGGTTTGGGGGGGAGCGTCGAGAGTCTAGATGATCGTCATATATGATTTGCTTCCGTGCTCAAATTATGAGGGGCTAGTGACTGTCATAGAGTTTTGTCATTTGTCCCCCCCGTTTCCTTGGTCCTGTGATTTGGTAGGGGCTTAGAGGTTTGTCATATATTCCCTCCCTTCGTCCTTTCGTGTTGCAAGGGTTTTGTGAGAGCCCTGCAAATTTGCCGTATGTCCCTTTTCTTCTTGCTTGTAGGGTTTGGGGAGCGTCTAGACGACTGACATATGTAATTTGATTCCGGGCTCGTATTGTGCGGGGCTAGTGACTGCCCTAGAGGTTTGTCGTATGCCCTCCGCTTCCTTGTTCCTGTGATGTAGTAGGGGCCTACAGGTTTGTCGTGTGTCCCCTTTCTTGGCATCTAGATGATTGTCATAAGTAATTTGCTTCTGTGGTCGTATTATGAGGGCTATTGACTGCCCTAGAGGTTTGTCGTACGCCCCCCTGCTTCGTGTTCCTGTGAGTTGGGAGGGGCCTAGAGGTTTTTTTTTGGTCCCCTCCCTTCGTCCCTTCGTGTTGTAAGGGTTTCGTGAGCGCTCTGGAGGTTTTTCGTATGTCCCCTTTGTTCGTACTTGCAGGGTTTGGGGAGTGTCTAGATGATTATCACATATCGTTTGCTTCCGCAGTCGCTATGAGGGTATTGATTGCCCTAAAGATTTCTCGTGTGTCCCCCGCTTCGTATTCCTGTGATTTGGTAGGGGTCTAGAGGTTTGTCGTAATTCCTCTCCCTTCGTTCCTTCGTGGGATGTTTGCGTGTG